TATAACCTGTGCCAGGCTAAAAAAATTATATAACAAATATGATATTTGTATATCTCTATTGTAAAGCTTCGCCTTATCAAGTAAATTTTCTAACTAGGTCATCCGGACTCCTAAATGATGTAAGTGGCCAACCTCGGTATTACGTGAAGCAGCATGGTCCATAAACAAAACAAACTAGACATGTGATCGCAGTCTGCCAGAACTGTCCAGATTTGGGAAAAGTAAACAATGCCGATCTTTTGGAGGGGGTAAACTGTTTTGCCCACTTTTATAAAAAATTTTGGAAGAGCGGCGAGAAGGCAGAAAAAAAAGACGAAACTACTTTGTTTTGTTTAGAAAAAGAGTGGGTATTTTCTTTACTCAACACACTGAATCTATAGGAAGGCACAGATACTTTCCTTATTTTTTCAGGTAAGTGATAAACTCTGGGCTTGTCAGCAAATAGCGTATGAGAACTATTTCTAAACAACAAGTATTTGGCCCCGCAGTGAGTGATAAACTTTGAGGAAGTTAGCAGGTAGCATATGAAAACTACCTCTAAATAACAACTGCTAAGTTACGGAGCTTAAGGACTTCTTCTCTGTCTGTTTTAATCTTTACGGATGCTAGTTTTTTAAGAATTTTGAATTTTTTTGTGGTAAAAATGATCGTTGGGAAGAGTTGTGATTGCCAAATTTAAATAATAACTGTATATACAAATAACGTATCAGCCAAAATATTAATTTAGGGCCAAAAATATATACCCTAAATTATAATTGATACTGATCGACATTGCATATTAGTACCCTATTTTTGTTACCAAAAATCAAATTTTTATATTACATTTTAGCGTCAAACCAATGAACCCACCTAGGAAACCAATGAACTAAATTGCGTACAAGTAAGTAAAGACAATGAAGCTTATAGCAAAAAGTTTAATATACATATATATATAATATTAACAATATATTTTATTTAAATAAAAAGTTCTTTTAATGCCTCGATTAACCTCTAACAAACCATTTGAATGTACTATTTGCAAAAAAAAATGGTACAAATCCTCAGCAGGACTTTCAAGATATGAAAATGCTAAGCATAATGATTACAAGACACCTCCTATTCAACAGTATATTCTGCCAGAAAATGCTATTAATAAATGGAAGAAAATGCTAGTACATGCTATTTATAAATGACTTCCTCTTGCTTTTCAAAAAACTGGAAAACAAGTAATTAAATTTCCATATATGGAGGGTCAATATTTAGGACTTTTTAAAAAGCATTTAACTTGGGTGTTTATTAACAGAAAAGTATATAGATGTGTTTTTTCAGGACCTAACACATATCAAACTATTAGTTCAATATTAGATAATCAATATTGGGGTGTACGGTACTATAAATGTAACCAGGTTTCTTATGTTGTACTACTTATTCAAACAACTGCTAAAAATTTAGTTCCAGCTTTAGATGCCATACTTGCAAAAAAAGCAGCTAAGAAAAAAAAAAAGCAAGGTAATATTGATAAAGGTGAGTCTTCTATTATCTTAGAAAAAGATAAAGTATTATAGCCAGAATTTATAGTTGATTGGGTTCAAGAAATATTTAAAGATTTTAGTGGGTATTAGGTTATCTCCGGGTATATTAAAATACAGTTCAATATGGAAAAAAGCTCCTTTACTAGTCCCAATACAAATCCATATAATCAATAAAAATGAGTATATTCGGACAACTCTTTCCGACGATTATCTGGACCATATTTTTCTGAAAAACTTTTTGACTAAAAAACAGTAACGTACTGCAAG